GCCTGGGACTCCAAGCTAAAGGGATTTCTAGCCTGTGTATGAAAACCTGGGAAACCCAAGCTGCAAAGCCAAGGCAGCTTGTACCTTAAGAATCTGCCAGCCTGTTTATTACTCAGGTAGGATATGAATTAGCAAATTCTCACGCTATCTAGTATTTTAAGCTCAGTTTGCGGTTTTGTTTATTCACTAGGTAATCTGCTTTGATCTGTTTGCTATCACTTATAATTACTTAAAATCTATCCTTTTGTAGTTAATAAACTTATTTTATGTTTTAATCCAAAACAGTGTGCATTTGACTAAGGTGTCTAGGGAAAATCTCAGCTTGGTTACCACAAGTGTGTATGGTCCTCTTCACATTGAGGGAGAGGCAGACCGGGTGTTAAACCAGGGCAGGATGGTACTGCTCTGGGGTCCTAGGCTGGGAGGCTGGTGGTTAGAGAGCCTGCATGTGACTGCAGCTGGGTGTGTTCCTACCTGTGTGAATGCTGGTGAAAGTGCAAGCTTTGAGGGCTTTGCAACTTGTCACGGCAACACAATGTGAGAGGGAGCTCAGGCTGGTGGGTCAGAGGGCTCAGTGATATCCCAGTTCCAGGTGGCACCCCAGGGAGAACCCGTCACACTATTCTCTTCCATTCTTCTCTGTCATTTCCTGCTGCTTCCATCTGCTCTATATTGTTGAGATTGACTGACTGTTCTGCCCTCCCCGCTAAGGGTTCTTTGTTAGGTTTCTCTTGGGTCACCCTCATTTCCTCACACCAGTTGGTTCCCACATGACCGCTTAATGTGGGAGTCTGTATGTTGGCATCCAGAGTACATGCCCCAAATACGTTCTTTCACTGATGCCTAGAATTTCAAGTCTATAATTAATTGTCCATCTCCCTCATGATCTGCAAGATGTTTAAAACATTGTTCTCGTGTTCCAGTAACTAACTTTAAAGTGTTTTCTTGCTGCCAGCATCAAACTTTTCAGGGTTCTGTCTTCCAGGCTTTCACAAGGAGCCTTCATGCAGCATGAGG